CGGCGTGTGTGGGTGGCTGCCGGAGGGAGGCAGGTGGTCGGTTGGTAGCGTGCTGCGGCGGCCGCCCCGGGGCCGGCCCCGTTACCTCCACTTGGTGCGGCGGTTCTGGAACCAGGTCTTGACTTGGGCGTCCGTCATCTTGAGGGCCTTGGCCAGGGTGGCGCGCTCGGCCGAGGCCAGGTACTTCTGGCGGTGGAAGCGCTTCTCCAGCTCGCAGATCTGCACCCGGCTGAAGGAGGTGCGTGGCTTCTTCCGCTTGGGAGGCGTGCGGTTCTGGTAGGGGTGCCCGATCCGCCGGGTCGCCGCGAAGGGCGACAGCGCGGCTGCGGGCAGAGCGGGGGTGAGGGGCTGCTCAGGGGAGCCACGGGCAGAGCACCCTGCCCATCGCTGCTGCTGCGCGGGCAGGGGCCGGGCAGAGCCCCTGCTGAGGGCAGGGCAGGAGCAGGCACAGCCGGGGAGCCTGGGGGGGATGCTCGGATGCTGGGGGCCAGGGAGCCCCGGGGGGGCCACCAGCGCTGTCTGGCAGAGAGGAGGGGAGGAGGAGACCCCGAGTCGTCCCCACCCGCTCCCACAGCCCAGGGGCGCGCAGGGCAGCTCAAGACGTGGCGGGAGGGCCCATCCCCGTCACCACAGCCGGATCGCTCCCCCAGCCCGGCGGGTGGGGACCAGGACCGGGACTGGCGGGGAGGCTGGGCAGGCCCCAGTCCCAGGGCCGGCGTGGGGCCGGCGAGGCTCCCGGCAGCACAAACCCACCCTTCCCCTCGCGCCGAGCCCTGCCGCAGCCCCAGAGGAGCCTCCATGGTGCTGCCGGGGCTTCCCAGCCCTCCCGGGGAGGGGACAGGGCCCCAGAAGCCACCAGGAGGTGGCTGACATCTCCCTCCAGCAGCGTCGGAGCAATGGGGGCCGGGCAAGGGGCTGTCCTTGCACGGCCAGGCTGTAAGCCGGGGACGGCGAGGCCGGTGTGCCGCATCCCAGCCCTGGACACGGCCAGAGCCACGGGGAGTGTGAGGGCAGCGAAGGGGTATGGAGGAAGGCGAGAGCTCAGCCGGGGCGCAGCACCCAGCTCCCGCTCCTCTCCTGCTCTGCCGGCGGCTCACGGCTGAGCCATGGCCCCACGGCCCTCGCCATCGCCGGCACCGCATGGGCAGGGCTGCACATGGCCGGGCCCATGGGGCTGCCACGGGGCCCCAGCACCCCGTGCCTGCGGGGGCAGACCCACGGCAGCCCCAGGGACAGCCTGGCGCCCAGCAGACCCTCTCCGTGAGGCCGGACCCTCCCTCCCGCCATCACCCAGGCAGACAGCGCGG